CAGTTCAGGCACTGCCACGCCCTTAACAACTGGTCAATCCATGCTGTTCGAACAGGCTCGATGGAATAGCAGCTGGAAACACACTCTTCCATACAGAGGTGGAGGCTGTACGCATGAGTCTCAAAGTTGAACAAATACGGCACACATTCACACAGCTCTGCCTTACACGATGGACAACCTAACACTCAGCTCCCCCACCCAATGATGATAAGCCCCATACACACCTCAGAAATTATCGGAGATTGACGATGCAAGCACATCAGCACCATCCCGTAAAGACACTTCTTGCTCGTCCTCCGCTGCCAGAATGTCGTATTCCTGCTGTGCAAATCGGTCCCAGTCTGACAGTTTGCTCTCCTGCTCTGCACGGATCATGAAAGGGTCCCGATGCTCAAACGCAAGAAATTTGTGCAAATTGAACAAAATGTTGAACAGGACTCCCGCATTCTCACGCCGCATGTGCAGGTCCTTGATTGTGAACCGGCCCTCCTGCTGAGGCTGTAGGAGGTCATGCAGTTGACACATGACGTCTTCAAACATGACTGGCTCACAGGCAGAGTTCTCCATGCGTTGTAGCTGTTCATCATAGAATGGTCGCAAGTCGTAAGGACCCAATATACCGTCGCAGTCCAGATCAATGCATCTGTGCCACAGCCACAAAAGTGTTTCATGGTGAGCAAACAGCAAGGCTGGTGGAATCACTTTGGGAGCACATGTCTGGCACAGCCTGCCCAAATGCATGTATTCATTACTATGTACAAAACTTACACTCAGTTGAATACAGAAGACAGGTTGTACATCAATTTCCCAGTCGATGGAAGCTGCCAAACAAAAGAGCACATGTCTGCATATCTGCTCAGGTCTGCACTTGCCCTTAATCTGACTGGACATGAGGCACACATACAGCATCGCCAGATCACACAAGTTGAACAGCAGAGCGTTGCAGGCCTGCAGACAATGGCACAGCGCCTGCTGCTTGCACTGCATGCATCCAACAGCCACACACTCGGATTTTCTTGGCCAAACATGTCACCATCAAAAAAGCAACAGGTGTGGCAGCAATAGATGGACAAAGGGTCGAGTCGTCCGCGCTGAGCAAACCGGTGTCCGACAGCCCAGGTGGACAGCAACCCGTTTCTGGCAGTGGAGTATGGGGCACAACTCACTTGAACCAGTACTCCAGGCTGGGCAGTGTTGTCTTGTCCTCTTCAGACAACAGAAACCACACAAAGTCCTGGTAGCTCATCTTGCCCTGCACCCTGCTGAAAAACCTGTGCGGCGCCTGGTCGAAGATGCGGTCCACGATCTGGTACGTCAGGCTGTGGCACCCATAGCGAACCAGGTCCTCCCTGTCCAGCAGGAAATCGTGATCCGTGTCCAGCTCCCAGAACTTGCAGTAGATCACGTAAAAATGCTCATACGAGAAGTACTGCGTCACCCTGTTGATGTCTGGCTCTGTGTCCAGCTGCTCCAGTACACTTAGAAAATCACTCCGCTTTAGCTCCCTCCGAGACAGCTTGCCAGTGCCAGAGCGGTTGAGGTGGTAAAATATGCGGTAAATGACCGTCTCCATGTAGCGATCCTGGAACTCAGGGTGATCGGCTAGGAACTCCAGGCTTGGGTGGTGGTCCACCACCGCCCTAAGCAGGGGCTCAAAGTTCGCGTGCACCAGATATTCACTGCCTTTTGTGCACAGGACCTCGTACAGCCGTGACACATTGTCCTTGGAGGCAATGTGGTTTGACTTCCACCACTCTTCAAACTCACCCTTTGTGAGCAGGGCCTGGTTTGCAGGAGTGCCTGCCTTGAGCTTGGCAAACAGGGGGTAGGCCATGAAGCCCGGCAGGTCCACCACCTCCTTGACCACTTTCACAAAGTCTTTAGCACACAAGCCATCTGGGGCGCCCTCAAACAGGGCCTGCACCTTTGCCTGGTGCTCTGCCTCAATCGCCTCAGGAACAGGTGGACCGGTGGGGAAATAGAACTGGGGAATCACCTCTGCAGTGTCCCCAGCCTCTGCAGTGTCTCCTTTGGGAGCGGGACTGGGTGGCCTGGAAGGACAATCCAATGAGCCATTCAACCCAAAAGGAATACAGGCCAGACAAGTGACATCCACGGATGCTGCGATGTGAGGAGAAGATGACAAATTTCTTCAGGTTGGCAACCCTGGTGCATGTGCTTGTCGCACGCATCCTGCCTCCGATCTCATTCCTGTGGGCAGTGGCACCTTGCGCACTGCAAAGCAGAATATGGCCTGCTGCCTGCCTGATTAAGAGGGGCGAATCAAAGTACAATCTGTTTCTTGAGTTTTTCAAGTACATCTTCAAATACAAAGGAGGACGAGTGTGCCCCTATTTATGCTGTGGTTTCTTTGGATTATAACATATCTTCACCCACATGCTCACACAACAGTATCGCAAGACTCTTGAAAACGACGCCAAAACATCCAAGTGCAACAACCAAGCACAAAAGACAGAGCAGCACTCAAATGCAGGGGCCGCCCTTCTACATTTCCCACAACACAGCAAACACTTTGCACCTGCAGGGGAGACATTGACCATGCCCACATCGGGGCCGCTTGTTCGACACTCCAGAGCTGTCTCAATTCCCCGCACCTGGACTGGGATGATGCGGGTGCTGGCTTCTGTGGTGGGGAGGCCGCCTTCTTGGGCGAGATCTGGGTGGTGGGAGAGGATGGTGGCACGCTGGTGGGGGCGGCGGCCGCGGGCCCCACCTTGGCGCCCTCGTCGATCCCCGCCTTCAGCTGCTTGCCCTGCCTAGCGTTGTCCAGCACCGTCATTATGACCTTCTCGTACTCGGGCATGGACAGCCACTCCAGAAACAGCTGGTCGAGCTTCATCTTTGCGCAGGGATACTGCCTCAGGGTGAACTCCAGCGACTTGGCCGGCGATCGGCCCGTTGAAGATACAGCAGAATCTCTGCCCCCGTCAATCTGGCCGGTGACGACAGCCACTGGCTGCAGCGACGCCATTCTGACCCAAGCGTGGAGTGTGTTAATGTTCAGGACAGCGACCGCCGCCGGTCAGCAGCGGCCTGCAGCTGGTCCAGACGCCGACCAAGGCTTCACCGATTGCTCTGAGGCGGGAATGGGGACGTGGATCTTGGGCCGGGCTTCAGCGGGTCAGCGGTTGTTTGGCACAAGCCACAGGTTGCTTTCCTGCCCAACGCGGCGGCAGCCGCCGCAGATCGGATCGATCGGTCCGTGCAACGAAGACAGGCCTGGTCCATGGCGCCGGTGAGAGTGCGAGTCAGCAGGGACTGGAGCCTAAAAGTGCCCGACCACGCCCAAAGGAGACAACGCGGACGACGCCTTGGCGAGTTATGACGTTACTCCCAAGAGGCTGCAATCCATCCGCCCAAGCAGGCCGAATGGCATCGCCTTTCGAGGCTTGCTGCCATCGCGATCGACCCATGAACAGCTGCCTACCGGTGACGAGCCAGGGATGCCCAGCGCTCGCCTCCTCTCGCTGCGCGGCTTTGTGATGCGGGAGCTGGGGCCTCCGGGGACCCAGGACCACCTTCGCTCGTTTCGCCGGCCCTTGGCCAGGGGAGCAGTGACCGCACGGTCGCGAGGCGCACAGCCGCTGGACGTGCGAGTTTTCGTTCGAAGACTCGCTGCCGGTTGTTGCACACAACACACCAACCCACTCTTGCCCATCATGTTCGAGTCAGGTGTGCGCAATTGTTCGCGGCTCAGGACGGCTACAACGACCATCCAAATTACTCACTTCTCTCATTCCTCAGCTGCCAGTCGGCCGTACTGGGGCCACACTTTGCGACCTTAAGGGTTTTTTGACGTGCGGTGCTATTCGAATAGCCGAATAGCACCGCCAGGACAACAGCACCCACCGATAAAGATGCTCTAACAGAAGTTCGTACCGCTGCATGCAGGCTTTCTCACTTCTTTCTCACCAAAATTCTCGCTTTTCTCATTTATTCAATCATTGTGGGTTGAATGGGGAGGTTGCCAGCACAACAGGCCATCACCATGTACGCAATCAACATTGACAGGGTGATCATTGGAAGGATCACCTCCACATCTTGTGCGATTTGAGCCCTCCCCAATGGCACCCTACAGGAATGCAGGAGATTTCATGGGCAGCGCTGAAGACTCTTGATGTGTGATTGCAGAGACACCAACAAAGCATTACAACACAACTTGGAGAATAGATTGCCAATGTTTGAGGACAGTCTTGTCAAGCTGGCCGGACAAGGTTAGCAGAGGGTGGGCAAAATTAGAAACTTGAGCAACATAACAGGAAACTCTTGGTTCGCATGTACTGGCAGAAAATGGTACTGTCAACAAAGCACCATGCTGCTTGGCTCTTATTTGCATTGCTGAAGTCCAGCACATATACGCAACAGTCTGAATGGTTGCATATTGTGCCCTGTTGCAAGCGCAACAGCAGATTCTTTTGCTTGTTTCGGCTTTTGACAATGTAACACTAACACAAGTGTCCAACCCTTGCAACTTCGGGCCACAGTCATTGGATCACTTTAGTTGCCAAACATTTTCTGACTGTGATCTGAATGAGGCTCGGCTGACTGCAGGAGTGTCCATTCTGACACAGATTTCCAGCAGTGAGGCCAGCAAGTCTGGCATTTGCTAACTAGGAATGTGTGGGCGACCGTTACACCCAAGTGCGGAGGGCTGTAGAAGATGCCACCATTTGCAACCTTGCAGCACCTCACTGTGGGCATCGCCAGCGATTCAACAACTGCACAGTGGGATATGCAGTGCGCCATTATGCAAGCATGCCATCACATGCAGGTCTGCCCTGCCAGGGCATCACTGTGCCAACACAGGCTCTCCGCAACCGCCATTGGCGTACAGCCACAACATGAGAATCCTGGAGAACCTGAAGCAGTGCACATTAACAAATTGCTACGCAGACCAACAAATGTTCAACAATGCATGCACTGTGCATTTTAAGTTGCAGCTGTTGATGCAGAAAACAGGCAATATCGCGCAGGGTTTCCATGTACAGGGACAGCTGCACACATTCCATCTCGAATTTTCCACAGGACTGTGTGAGCTAACAGGCTTCCATCTCGGGAAAACTTTCCTCAATCACCGTGTGGCATACTGCAAGAAAAAGCAGCACTAGCCCACAGCAGGAATGAGCCCCTGCAGCGGTGTGGACAGTGGAGCCCAGGGGGCCGATCAATGAATAATTGCCGCCACTGAGCAAAACAATTTTGGAGGCTGCTTGCCATGGCTGAAACTGCAAGACGTTTTCGTGGGTGCTCCCCCAGGTGCGAACCAACGGCGGGTCTGAATATCCTCAACTGCTCTTGCACCAGAGCTTGCGTTACCTCCAGAGGGTACTACCTGCATTCGCCCAAACCGCACGCATGGCAGCTCGCCCGGTCGTTTCCCCAGACCCGGTGTCGTGGGCTGACGCGACACCGGTGACCAAAGCACCCGCCCACCCCCACCCACCCCACCCCTGGCCCACGCAAAAACCACCAAACAGCCCCGCCAGTGATTTGAAAATTACACCCTACGTTTCGTCGTTGTTCGTCTCAGACGGTCCACGCGACAGCCATGGGCGCCAGCGGCGGCCGCGACACCTCCCCCTTCGCCTTTTTCCCCTGCATGACTCCTCGCATCCAGGCTTCCCCACCGCACCTGCTGTTCCCAAACCCAAAACTCCCTCGCAATCAACAACGTGTCGATCCCCGCACCTCCCCAACACCGCCCGCGCCCCCGGCGGCCTCTCAGCCACAGCCCTTTCCACTGCTCCACCTTCCGGTAGCATTTCCTCAGCCATCTGCCGGCAGAATTCACAATCTCTCCCCGCCCTTCCACCCCGAGCCCCAACAGGAGGACCCCTTTCCCCAGCCTACTCCTTCTTCGCCCCCTTGCTGTGCACCAGCGACTTGTGGATGTGCGGGATCACCCCTCCGCCCGCGATGGTCGCCTTGATCAGCGTGTCCAGCTCCTCGTCCCCGCGGATCGCCAGCTGCAGGTGGCGCGGCGTGATGCGCTTCACCTTGAGGTCCTTGGACGCGTTGCCCGCCAGCTCCAGCACCTCGGCGGTCAGGTACTCGCAGATCGCAGCGGTGTACACGGCCGCAGTGGCGCCCACGCGCCCGTTGGCCGTCACGCGCTCCTTCAGCAGCCTGTGGATCCTGCCAACCGGGAATTGGAGGCCCGCCCGGGATGACCTTGACACGGGCTTCTTCTTGTCCCCCTTGCGGTCGGACATCGTCCCCTTGGCGCCCTTCCCGGACAGCCCCTTTGCGCCCTTCCCCGACATCCTGATCGATTTGCTCTCAGAGAGCGCAGGCAAGACTCGGCTTTGCTGTGGGGGCCGAAGGCGATCTGCCCTGGGGGATGGGGAGGCAGGCGCGCGAAGTTGTGGGTGGGGCAATGGGTCTGTGTGTGTGTATGGATTCGGCGGGGAATTGCGCGGGGTGGTTTCTGGAAGCTGAGCTGGCGCTGCATGTTCCTCGACTGTTCAAATTCAAGTCTTGCTGTGCCGTACGGCATCGTGCACGCGGGGTTCTGCAAATTCGGAGGGCGGCCTGCCGCGTGATCAAGGGTCGCGGCAGCGACGGTCTTGGTGCCGATGGCAAGAGGATGTCGCCACCGCTCCATCAAGCCGCCCAGCCAGGGTAAGAGGGTAGTCCAACGCCTTCAAGTACCTTGCCACCCAACAGGGGAGGGAGGACACTGTTACGAAAGGCGTTGGCCTGCCGTGCGCGATGCCCGGTGACTGCCCGTCGCACGAACGGGACGGGAACAAAGCACTCGTTTGCACTGTGGTACCCTTCCGCCACTTGCAGTGAATTCAATGGCTGATCTGATCTGAACTTGTGTGTGTGCTGCATCGCTGTGGTGTACCGATTCTTTGAACGAACCATCACTTGTCCACTCGGGAAAAGAAACTTCTTCCGTTGGGAGATCTCCTCTTTGGGGTGCTGATGTGGACGCGAACACTGCTCCGCTGTCCTAGCGAGGTGAATTGATTTCAAAACGTTTGGGTCACCATGGCTGTTCAGGTTGTGGTGTGCTGTGCTGTGCCCTGAACGGTTAAGTGTCGTACCAAGTTGAACTTGGTAGCTCCATTTAACATCCCTCTGCCCTTTCTAGCCTTTCCTTCAGATTGTTGCATAGTGCACAGTGGTTTTTAGCAGCGGAGAAGCCGCACACCTGTAATCCACGCAAGGAAAGTTGCACTGCTACAAAACACTGCTCAAACAGTCATCCACAGATGTTTGAGGGTATTCTGTTGTCCCGAGGCATCCACACGCAACGTCAGCCAGCCGACTACATATCATTGTCGATCGGCACAAGTTTAAGCAAGCTGCCTGCTCTGAAACATTGCACTCCGCTCACAACAGCAGCCAAGGGCACGCGGAAAACATTATTCTTCTCAGTCTGATAGTGTTTGCACATGTAATGCTCCATTTGTTGTGTGCCTTGAGACCAAAGGCCACAATCGTGGGACAATCTTTTGGTTGGCCACGGACACAATACTTCAGACAATATAGGAGTCCTGTGCCGGCTGCCTTGATACTGCAGGTACAGCAACCCAAATCGAAGTTGCCATTGCCAAGTTGGCTGCAGCACACATTCCTTTAGCTGCTCTCTCCTGCTGATCGTTGATGCATGCCTCCACAGGAGCAGCATGAGTCATCGAACCGCAATGATAGATTTCCTGGGTCCTTCCACAGTCTGAAGAGATGCTCAGAAGATCTTGGTACAGGACCAGGACAGCTGATCTGTGTGATAGGACATCCTCACCAACTGGTCAACATGTTCCCATTCGTCATATTCCCAATCATGAACGCCTGCAACAGATGCTCTCAGCTGCACTAGGACGTCCTTTGGTGACATAAATGCATTCAGTACGATGGCGTCCCCAAGACAACACCGTTTCCAAATGGGACAGCTCTCAGCTGCATCATCGAGACGTACTTTGCTGGCCAGAACCAATTTTGCAAACTACACCAATGAGAAAGGATTGGTTGGAAGGGGTCTTCCAGGTTAGTATGCTGCAACTGGACAAAAATATGGACACCAGTTGCTGCCAAGACTTCCCAAACACTCTTGTCAATTACATGTGCAGCTGCAGATAACACAACAGCATGGCCACGAACTCGACCTCAGCACAACCTAAGCTCCTCTACGTGCCACCCATTAGCCACGTTGGCACTTGTGCTCTGGTCAGTTGTCCCTGATGCTATGTGCTCTGTTCAACTGCTGCTGGCACTGCTGCTGCTGCTGCTGCTGCTGCTGCTTCCAGTGTTTTGATACTCTGTCTGACTGGGACCTTTGTCAAACCTGACATTGCAACATGTTTAGCACTGATTCTCTGTCTGTGTACAGCAGCTGGACAGCACACATGCACTCCTCTAAGGTGTCTCACGCTGCGAATCCTCACAGACTTCTCCCCATGAACCAATTTGCTGAATCTACAAAAGCAATAGCCAACAGCAGCCAGAGCCAGCACCAGGAAAATCTGAATACTTTTGTAAGGATCGCTCCATCACCAACCCCAGCCCTTCGAGTCCTCATCAAACTGGTGATGTTAAAGTCATCATACTGGTGATCAGTCCCTCTCCCAGCGGCACATGGGGTATTTTGTCTGCTGCACATCCAGACAACAGACTTGCCAAAAAGCTGAACAGCTGTGGCTGAGGCTGTGGCGCATCAGTGCACACCTCTGCCATGTGCCCTTGGGTATCACACACAAGCTATGGTTACCCAAACCTCCCACCCCTCCCCTTCAGGCAAGTGCCTTCACAAGCCCTGGCAGCCGACAGTGAATGCCACTACCCATCCTAACCCAGAGCAGGCGAAGATGAATGGTCATCTTCTCCTGGCGGCAGGGCAGTGTACCCCAGGCTTGGGTTCCCCTTCAGGCACGCCAGCCGAGTCACTCCTCGGATTTCACCCCACCTCTTCGCCGACTCTGAGCACGGCTCAGGAACCTGATCTTCAGAGGCCTCCAGCTCTGACAGCCGGGTGACCGCTTCCTGCTGGTCGAACATGTGCTTGGTCTGCTCTGCCAGCTGCACGAACTCTGACGCCAGGCAGACAACCTGCTTCATAGTGCTCACCATGTCCTCTGTTGCTGTTTGATGTCCCAAGTCCTGCACAAGAGCCAACCAGTCAGCTGCGTATCCAATGCCAGAAACTGGCCAAACACAAAAGCATGCACGACATGCTCAACATTCCATTGAAAACAAAATGGAAATAAGCACATGAGTTCAGCAATACAATGTGTGGGCAACGATTCGAGTGCTCCCATACACTTGTGGCCCATGAGTCCCACACTGCTGATGGATCCCTTGCTATGCGAATGTGAGGCCTGCCATACTCATGTACTATTGGCTTTTAAAGTCAAGGGTTGAATGCTCACATCAGGTAAAACAACACCAAAAGTTTTTCTTCTACCCACTGCCATCTGTCAGACTGCCATCGTGCCTCAATCCATGTCTAGAGGGGCTGACATGCCTCATGACACCTTCCAGCAGCAGTTGCCATACCAAGTGTCAAGCGCCAAGGATGGACAGCTTAGTCTGAGCGACATTCGTTGCAACCAGATTTGATATGCAGGATCTTAAGCATAACTCACTTTGGGCCCAGGACCATGGCAAAAGCCCTGTTCATCTATCGCATCTTGAACGACCTTGCAACTATGGTGCTAATGCAAAATTCGATAGGGAGCACTGCTTGCATACCAACAGCACGTTTTTGGCGCAACAGCAATGTTTTGACGTGGAAATCAATTTGGTGTTTACACAGTACCAGCAGTCCAGTGCCTGGACATCCATCCAGCTCACCATGACTCCGACTTCCCTCTGCTGCTCCTGTTCTTGCTGTTGTTCACTGAGTTTCGAATGCACACGCTTGAGCTGTTCCATGGCCGCGTGGGCATAGGTGGCCAGGTCCAATAACAACGTCTGTGGCGTCTCAAGTTTCTCCGAGCTGACACAACAGAGAGCTTTGGCAGCCTGTTCTGCAGAGATGTCCACAACTTTGACCTCGCCGATCGCAATAGAGCGCAAAAGTCGCTCTGTGGCCTCTCCGGTCTCATGGACCATACCTGCAGCAACCACGGGACATGCTGACGTTATGAGCATGTGCTAACTTCGTGCACAATCAAAGAGTTACGTTCCACAAGCACCACAGAATCGCACCACAATTGGCAGCACAGCCAGAATAGCACTACAACAAGCAGGACGATCTTGACACTGAGCCTCCTTTGGGTCCAATTCAACCTCAAGGGCTCCAGTGGTCAAGCACAGAATCGAACCAACACCATTATAGCAAACTCCACAATGTAATGTTGCTTGCCCTGCTGCTTTGAGGAACAACTGCACTCTGGTTGATCAGCAGTTACTGGGCCAGTTCATCAGCAGCAAATCGGGTAAATTGTGTTGCATGAAGCATGTAGTCCCAGCAAGAGTAAAGTTGCATCTTGTAGAACCCCACTGCACATTCTTTCATAGGTTGCTCAAGATCGCTGAGAACACCATCGCATCTGCAGGAGCGATCTTCAACGTCAACAAAATGCAGCGGACTGAATCATGGGTCCCTCACTTGTGAGGATGCCATCAGGTCGGCTCAGGAGTTCCTTTGGTGAATCAAACTCTGCCACTTGCCCCGCATCGAGCACAAGCACTCTATCACCGTCAATGATGGTGTGCAGCCTGTGTGCCACAGCGATGACAGTACAGCCAGCGAATTCTTCACGAATGGTCCTTTGGATGAGCGCGTCCGTTTCAACATCAACATTTGCTGTGGCCTCGTCGAGAATCAGGACCTGGGAACCGCAGGCAAAAGTCAGCACACCCCTCTCACTTGCAGACATTTTGGCAATTTCCTTGCACAGCACAGGCAGAAGCTTTGTGGGCTGTGCCCTAAACCTGGCAATCGCTAATTTGGTACAACTTCATGCATGTGGTATATCTATAAGTGGAGTGCACACTGTTGTCACTTCAATGCAGCTAATTCCATGCAATTACTGCAATGCAGTATCATCAAGCAAGAACCACACTTCTTTACTCCAAACCCGAAGCAACTCTGAGTTCCATGTTCTATTTTGCAAAACCCCGTCTGTTCTCACCACAGCAGTCACTGCCTTACTCAGGCAATGGGATCCCTGCACACATGAAACCTACCTGAGAGTGCTTGAGAAGGGCTCTTGCTAATGCCACTAGCTGCTTCTGTCCAGCGCTCAGCGGCACTCCCCCTTCCTGTAGTTCCATCTCCAGTCCTTTAGTGTTCGTCCTCACTACACCATCCAGGTGGGCACGGTCCAGGGCCGTCCAAACTTCCTGGTCACTGTATTCGTTGAAGGGATCCAGGTTGGACCTTATGGTGCCAGTGAACAGGAAGGGGACTTGTGGTATTATGGCCATCCGGCTCCTCAACTGCCTGAGGCCAATCTTCGACACATCAATTCCGTCAATGGAAATGGTGCCATTGGATAGCTCAACAAGGCGGAAGAGCGCGTTGATGAGGGAGGACTTTCCTGCACCGGTCCGGCCAACCACGCCAATTTTCTGACCTGGCTCTATTGTGGCAGTCAGGCCTTTCAATACCAGCGGTAGACCTGGGCGGTACCTGTACAAATGACCACATCTGGATATGAAACAGTGCAAGCATCGGCAAAGTCGAGCATGAGCGTATACTAAACCACACCAAACAAATAAGGCAGCAGTTCAAACAACAATATTCATTTGGTATCAGAGAAACTGCAGTTCATTTGTTAAATGTGTGGCTCAGTCCTCAGAGTCATGACACACAGATGGGGCTGAGTTCACATCACCCTGACATTCCTTGTAGCGAAGCTGTGTTTTTGTGTTATCAGACAGTACTGTGTGTCTATATCGATGCTCATGAGTGACTCTAGCTTCAGAGAAATGCAGATACCTGGTAAACCTGACATGAACCAATGTCTGCATAAATTGCAGATGGGTGACAAGTGGGAAAAGAATCAACGAGGAGAAGGGAACTCTTTGACGCCTGTCATCGCTTGCAAGATGCAAGCGCTCCTCTCCATCTGTTCATGACAAATACAAACATAAGACACTAGCATCGACAAACAGCCGCAAACGCACCGGCTTATGACATTTTGACAACACTGAACATGAGAAGTTGTGTAACTTGCCTCATTTCAACATTGCACCGGCTTATGACATTTTGACAACACTGAATATGAGAAGTTGTGTAACTTGCCTCATTTCAACATTGCCAAATTCCAAACCACCCCTGTCTGGCCAATCATCTGGAACCGAATCGGGTGTGTCATAATCGGCCTCCTGATCAGTTTCTGTGTATTCTGCAACTCGCTCCACAGCATTGAACCCGTTTTCTGCAAGGCTTGCCAGGCGGATGGTCAACGTCGTCAAAGATGTGATCGAAAATGCATATGAAAGTGTGAGACCAGCAAGTGAGGAGCTTGACTTTTGCTCCACCGTCATCACTGCTGCTGCCAAAGCCGCAAGTGCTCCAAGGGTCTCCAGGCGAATGCTGAGCCACCTAGCAGTCGTTTGGCCCCCACAGACCTTAATGTAATTGTCAATGAGAAAATTGACTTGCAATTCATGGATACAGCAACTGGTTTAAGAAGGGCATCCACGTCGAGGGGGGGCTGATACCTGGGTCCACAATATGTTGGATCGTGACATGACACTACTCTGCGCAGATCAACGATCTTGTGACAGAGCAAGTAAGCAGTCTAAGGAAACATCGGCAGTGAACAATGGTGCAGCAAAAAGAAAGACAGTACTCCTGCCCTCACAGGAATTCCATCTGATCCCAGGAAGTGAGGCGCAAACCAGAAAACACAACAACAAACTCATTCAAGCCATGGCAGATCTTCACTCAAGTAGCATATGCCGCTTTGCAGGCGCTGGTATGAATCGCTTAAGACCGGAGCTCCAATCCTAGGCACTCACCTGTTCATAGATTGGTTCGCAAGACTCAACACGATCATGTCATTGATGAACTCTCCATTCTGGTTGATCAGCCTCCTTTCTGCCCCAAATGCACGAATTGTTGCCAGGCCATTCAGGGCTTCGTTGATTGATCCATACACCGGGGAGCGATTGATCGCATTGAGACGCTTGATTTCACGAACGGTCGACTGAAAGTACAGATACAGCCAATAGAACAACAGCATGATCAGAACTAGGAATGGCAGTGTGAGGGGCACAGTGCATCCGATCAGTATGACTGTTGCTATGAGCTGCAGGAAGCCCCTGCAATGATCCATAAAAATAAGTCTCTCAGAATGTGGTCATAAACTTTGAGAACAAACTGCTGATTGAACAAATGCATCCTCAACAACCCGCCTACTACAGTCATTGTCTCTACTAATGCAATATCACAGCTGGCAATAGTCACACTTTGCACTGCGGGAAGAAACAGCTGTTGCTGTAAAACACATTGGCTGTTGCTTGAAGGTGGCAAAGGTTTGTCAATACTTGTACATAGATACATGTCACCACAGTTGATGCGCAGCCAACAACAGCAACACAACACAGTTTCACCACAAATTCTGAGCGACTTCTTCAAAGGAGAGATGTGCAATCCAAGATCATTTTCTGAGCAAGTCAGATACAAATCAAGATCAGTCAGCAATCCAGCACAGGAGGCATGCCTCTTCATCACCTGCAATGCACATGGTAACTGCTTCATTGGGAAAGGCAAGCAAAAGGAATGGACTTCCATTGGCAGGGGTTCGTTCTTGCAGGATGGGCTCTTTGCAGCCATGAGTCAGCAGTGCCTGCGCACCTCAAGAACATGGACATGAAATCTGCCACACTATTGTCTATGTCAGATGTGTCACGGGTCAATCTGTTGATTATCCTGCCAACAGGCGTGGTGTGAAAGAAAGCCATGGGAGCTCGCATGAGACTGTCCAACATGGACCGATGCAGAGTGTTGGCCGCGATGATGCTCAGATGCTTCAAGTCCAACTGGTTGACAAGCGCAGCTCCGATTTGCAGCAGGGAGATGGCAGCATATACACCCATATTGAGCTCCTTGTCCCTGTTGTTTCCTTGCCCTACACCAGCCGCAATGCGCAAGTTGGCAATGTAAGGTGCGTTCTCGCTGTACTGAAGCTTGCTGAGCAGCAGTTCTTGAAAAAGACAGATTTGGCTGCAGTGCTCCCCATCGTGTGTTGCCACGCTGATGGTATGCACACAAGATGGACACACCTTGGCAGAGGCCCTCCCAACAATGTCTGACACCAATACACTCATATCGTATTCCTTGACAAAAGCATTCGCTGTAGATTCATGTCTGCAATGGTGCCCCCAAAATTGTGTGAACATGAATTTGTCCCAACAGTCCATTTGTTGCCAAGCATGGGGACATGGAGCTTGATATGGGTATATTTGAAGAGGCTGTCATGCTGACCACAATCGAAACACGCATTGCACCTTCTTTTCAGCAGAGATTTGCAAATACCATAGAATTGTGCCAATTGACCACTCTGAGGCAAATTGGAGATGGCATTCCAGTTGGGATTTCAAAATAAACGACCATGGAAACTGCAGGAATCGCATGCAGTTTCCCTGTACATCCCTCACAACAAAACGATGGAACATACCCTCTACTTGGCAATCCTTCATTTTCAATGCTGCAGCCCACCCCAGCCCACACTCCCCCCTCTTCCCTTGCACCTCACCTGTCCAGTGTTCCAGCCACAAACTTGCCAGTGTTCGGAAAATCTCCACAGAAAGAAACAGACACATGAGCATTAAAAAGGGTGTCAGTCCGCCCATTGCCTTCATGTATGCCCACAACACCATGCGTGACACGATACCAGTCGATCTCTTTTCAACATCAATGAGCTTTCGCCCCTTGGACTCTGCTGCTGGTGCCTGTATGGGTGCCTCAGAAGATGTTGGCTGAGCAGAGCTGCTGGGCAGCTGATGCGCTGCAGGCTTTTGGGGCTGGTCTTTGCCTGCATCTGAGACATCAGCTCCCTCCTCCACCTAGAGACGACAGTACATGCTCACAATAAGTTGCTGTATTGGCTCCATTTGACAAAGGAATGGAACTTTCAGCACAGATGAGAAGGGCAGCAACGGGTACATGGAAGGTTGTTAGTATTTTTCACCAGACTGCATAACGAATCAGCACAAAATAGTGTCATAAAATAGTGTCATAAAATAGCGAAAATGCTATCAGGCCTGTGCTCCGTGCCAGCCACAGCCAGTGTGTCCAAATGCTAACATCCTCAGTGTGAGTGACCTTTGAAGCATCAACTGCTGCTGCATGCACCTCCTGATGCACAAGGCAGACCTCGCGCATAATCTCATGCAGAATGGAAACCCTGTCTCCTGACAATTGGTTGAGTTTAAGCAGAACAGAACCTCTCTATTTGTGATCTGCAGACACAGTTGACCTGGATGTACCTGTGCTTCAGCCATCATACGTGCGAACCCCTTCCCTGCGGCCATCAGCTCACTGTATGGCCCCACTTCTGCCACCTTCCCATCGCTCATGAAGACCACCATGTCTGCAGAGCTGACGTACTGGAGCTGGTTGGTCACCAGCACTCTTGTCTTGCCCTTGTGGAGGCCAACGATGCACTTGTTGAAGACTGCACGCCCAACTTTAGCATCCAAGGCTGACAGAGGGTCGTCCATCAAGTAGGTGTCGGCGCCAGAGTAGGCAGCACGGGCAATCGCTATTCGCTGCTTCTGACCACCAGAGACATTGATGCCTCGTTCGCCTGTTGCACAGTGCACATATGAGAGGCATCAAGTGGGCAACCATTGACAGTCCAGGTGGGCTGAACCTATTGCAAGCATGTTCTGATCGCAAAATGCCCTGTGTCACAACTGTGTTCAAAAATCCACACAGCAGTGTGTTTCAGCTTCGGAAGCAACCAAGGACACGGTTGTCATTCGACACTATACTGCAGAATAGGGGTTTAGACATTTGCTATCACGCCACAGGGACGTCACAAAACTTCAAACACATATGCAAGCACAAGCTCAAGTGCCATCTGCCGAAACCTTCAACAACGTGATTGCGCTTGCTGAACATAGGAAGAACACTGGGCTTACCTAATTCGGTTTGGTCCCCCCCTGGCATTGCTTGGAAGTCCGGCAGCAAATTTGCTGCTTCCACAGCTTCTGCATATTTCTCTTCGTTGAACTCGCAACCAAAGAGGATATTCTCACGGACAGTCGCGTTCACGATGAAAGGGACTTGGGGAACAAAGGCAATTGATCCGGCCATCATCAAGGGCTCTCCTGACAACTACGCAAACCACAAAATGCTCAAACAGCTGACCACCATTTTCTGTGCCCCCAAACCCATTTTCATGATGTCACAGCACCACTACAAGAGCGGCTGCGAATCCTTGACCAAGCAGAAGTAAGATGCCATGTCGCTGCACAGACATTTCGTCTGAATTCTCAGTGCCAAGCCCAACCTGAGCAGGAAGATGTCACCCAGGTGAGTTGAGGCACAGTTTTGAAACAGCAGCCAGTTCTAAATCGGGTTGTGCAGAAATGTGCACATATGGCCAGCGCCTCATTTGCAAAAGGGTGGGAAGGCAAGTCCAAAGGGGGCCTTCACAGTCAGTGCACTGTGACACATTCAATGTGTTTTAATTTTCTAGACACGCTGGTTCACCACGAACTACAATGCCTTGTGAAGGCTTTGAACAAGTTCCAGCTCCTGTGATGTATGCTTGCCTGGTGCGTGAGGCCCAGCATACTGGTAAGTAGACTCGACTTCCCTGCTCCGGTGGATCCGACAACGGCAACCAAATTCCCAGACGGAATGTCCAAGTTGATGTCAGTGAGGCATGGAGGGGCAGACGTGTTCCATGAAAAGTCACCATGCATGCATATGGCCCTCTCACCTGCACTACAACAAGATCAATGCCTGAGAGGGTTCTGGAATTCGCCATGCTACTCAAACATGCATAATAAGTATGATGCTGCCACTCACCGCTCACTTCACTTCAACTTCTGGGCAACGTACACAAACAGTAACTTGGGCTGCTCAGTTGTGAATTGGATATCGAAGGTTTGAGACGAGCGCTCTGAGAGTGAAAGGTGCCAGATATGGCCAGATGGGTGCTACAGCAGTGATTTGCAAAATCTAGAGAAATGTAGCCATTGAGGATTATCACTCCTGGACAAAAGAGATTTGTAAACAATGGGATTGGCATGGTTGACAGGGACCCATGCAAGCAGCCATCTTGGCATCGCACACCCGCAGGGGCTGCTGGGATGGCCTCCATTTGCGGCTGCTCCTGGCTTGAGAGAAACTCTTGCATGCGCTTGATTGATACACCAGCACTGGTGAGTTGGTTCACAAGACTGGGGAGCTGGAACAGCGGGAACCTCAATATGTTGAACAGAACCAGAGATGTGAAAGCCTTGGAAGCATCCAAATTGTTGCCAAGGGCGATGTACACTCCAAACGTCGTCACTGCCACGATTGCTGGGATGGACGTCAGCAGGAAGGTGTTGCAGGCACTCAGGACAAATGACTTCCACAGCACTGCCAGCTCCTTTCCTCGAACGTCCATGATGTGCTCCCGGAATGGCATTTCCCAAGTGCTTGTCTTCACCACTTCAATACCTGGCAACAGCAAATATGGCTGGTCACAATCTGCAAAACATTGCTGATCACATTTTGATGCATGCGGTGCATTCTGCCCTTTCAACCCGGTGACAATGCCATTCAACTCCTAATCTGTGCTCTGCACAGGACAGTACCTGTTTTCTGTGACTGAAGTGCTGCATACACAATGTTTCTTGTTCACCTTGCTCACATGCTGATCGTCTTGAATACAGTGACAGGGGAATGCCTTGTTCAAGAAATGCTCTACATTGTCGCCACATTGCCCAGGGACACAGCTGTGGAGATGACATGAAGCCCCTGGGATACAGGCACCACAAGTGCGGAAGCAGATGCAACAAACAAAATGAGACAAATGGCACCATGGGCCAGGGTTGCTAGTTGACATGAGCCTTACCAAAAGGAAATACACTGAGCATCATGACTGCATCCTAGATCGGGGTCTAGAACGCTCACCACCACTCATCCATATCCAAACAAAATCCACAACACACTATATGGCCTTGAACATAAGAGATCTGACCCAAGCTATCCAACTTAGGCAGCTCCATAAAGCTACCCTGAACTTCACCTTCCAGGTGTTCTAAAATGTGCGACAAGGTGAAGCACCATCTCCTTCACAGTGCTATGCAGCAATCATTGCCTCTTTTCCTCGACATCAATGTACTGCTGTCCTTGCATCCCATGTACGCAGCAGGGGCTTGCCTGCGGTCAGGATGGGACTTTCAAGGTTCTGAGGTTTGATACTTCTGGGCTTCAACAGTATGATACACTGAGCCTTGGGCCTGGAACTTGGACTTGGGCCACACTTATACCTGGCAAATTCCACAGGCTCCCTACCTGATATCAGCTCCCCTTCCAGTTTAGCTCTTTCATCCGACAGGCTCAGGGCACGTTTCTTGAATGTAGCCGACCATTTGACAACCACAGCCTGAGCGGGAATCATCAGTATGAGGGCGACAAGGGCCACCAATGAGGCAGGGCCCAGCTTCACGTACAGCATCGTCATTGCTATGGTAATCCGCACTGGGGACGACATGAGGCCCAGCAAGTTCTGGCACACATTCTGTAATGCCTCCGTGTCAGAGGCCACAAAGTTGAATATGCGCCCGGAGCTGAACTTGGCACGGTCAGAGGGGGTCAGGAAGAGGATCTTGCGGTGCAGTTCTGCGATCAGGACGGCTCGCATCCTGAAGCCTGCCCTCATGACCCTTTGAAACTGTTGATTGTCAGACAAGGTCCCAATCATGAGGCCCACAAACGCAACGCCTGCAAAAACCCACCAATACACCTGGTGTGAGTTGTCACACGTTTCCTCCCTGTGGAAGTGGCAGGTCTACCTGCAAACGGCACATTCGCACCTGGGTCATGCTGAACAAGTACTTCAATGTGTGCAGCAAACCTGTGCAGGGGCAGTTACAATATTGGCACGTGCTTCGTTAGCGATGCTTGGGGTCAGATGCAACGTTTGGCAATTTGAAAGCGCACAAATAACCAAAGAAGACAACTAAGCAGAAGTGTCTTTTGTATTCAAACAGTGCACTTGTGCTCTTGGACAGTCTCAGACTCTTGGCCTATGCAGCAACATGCGCCTTCTCATTAGCAGCACCTGAATAAATGTAACCCTTTGTGGTGGCTCCGGGTTGGCTGAAGTCCAGATGTAGCATCAGTTTTATGAGCTTTGGGGGTATAAATTGAGCCAAATCTGTGATAAGCTTCAAAGGGATGGCCGCCAGAATTAAATATCCCACAGTGTGAAACAGGGCTCTGGTGAGTGATGGCTCCCTTTTCCGAGTTTCCTTCGACCAAGCTGTCTTGAATTTTGCATGGTTGCCATCTACTAAGTCATATGGCGGCAACGACCACATATCATCCAAGGTCAGTGGTGCCTTGTATCCCGTTCGAGCAAGAGATCCCATCCAGCTGAAAGTGAGTATTGAAAAGAAACTGGCCTTGTATTCTGGACAAACATTGCCAATTGACACCGATGCCACCTCGTCGGCTCCAACAAGAGCCTGCCGATCAAATGCACAAACAGCCAAATGAGCTATCTGACTGCAGCTGCCCACATGACGTTGCCCAATGAGTCAAAGGGGAGTGTTTGTCAGGCTGTGGCAATTTGATCGCAAAACAATCGTGCCACCAGTTTGGTGTTGTGTGTTATCAGTACACCTTCAGACACTTGAACATAGTCTTCCTCAGCAAGGAACAAACTCATCTTGCTCAGTAGGGGGTGCCCATTGCGCGGCATATTTCTCCTTGTTACAAAGCCCAGCAGACATCTTACAAAGTGCAGCAACTCCTGAAGAAGAAGATTCAAAAGCAACCCTCTAATACTATCCTCTCATCAGATGATGTAACAACCTTCATACAGGTTCTCATGCATGTGTGTACACCATATTGAACAATTGAAACAATGACAGCATCAAAACTGCAAAATGCTGCAGCCCAGGCTGCCTTTCACAAATTCAGAGGTGGCTAACACAACCAATCGAGCATTCCAACCACAAGGATTCGCACCTCATATCCAGTTGGATAGCCCTCCATATCATCCATATTCAGGTCCAGTGCTCTCTTCATTGGGAAGTGCAACAGGGAGTATGCTGCCAAAGCGACTTGTGCTGCCACATAGGCCACAAAGACCCAGAAGAACAGGTTGTGATTCTCCTCTTCTAGCACGAAGCTGAATTTGGCAAGCTGTCCAGCAGCAACTAGGCATATGGAAAACCTCACCATCCAGAGGCCCCCCCAAGTGAAGTACTTCAGCTCAAGAATCAGAGCAACTGCAACGAGCACCCAAGAGATAATGGGGAGCACATAGCCTGTTGGCACAAACAGTTGCACCTCAATCGCTGCACTGAATGAGTACATGCTTGAACTCCAAACAATATAGACAGTGGTGAGGTCAGAATGGCAGCGGCCTGGATCAATGAAAATAAGTTAATTGGGACCAACGAGTCCTCAGCCTGTACTGCAATATCATGTCCAGACGGCACCTCAAGCTGCCAACTGATACTCCAATCAGATAATCTCCTTCGAATATTGGTAACACGTGCCAAACAGTGGTCAAGTTTACCTTCGATATTGAGCATTGATATCAAGGCAGCATCAAATTCAGTAACCGATTGCCCCCAAAAGTGGCTGCAACGATCTAAGCTGAGCCTTGGTAGCAGGTGGCACTAACTACTTCAGTTACACATGTTGTAACTCATGCAGTATGCTCTGCAAATCCCACCAAGACAAGAGCCATTGGCTATTTGTGAAGGTCTACTCTCCAAAGACAATCATCCCCACAACAGGTCACTTGAACAGCACCCGGACCTCAGAAACTTAAGTCACCTTCCAGAAGGAATGTGTGACATCACAATTGCCTTGAAGCACAGTGCCTCCTAAGTTATGCAGTCTTGCAAGGTACCCATGTTCACCCAGCATTTGGCCCCATATACAGGGCCTCCAAGCGAAGAGACATGAAAGGATGGATATTTAACACCAGGACAGGGGTATTACTATGGTTTGAAGCCTTGATCTAAGGAGTGGAAGGTGAAAATTTTGAAATTTATTCCCTGGAAGCGGCAAATGGGCCAGACATTGCACAGCATGCATTGTGCTGGCAGCAACGCCACTGACAAAAGGTACTGAGTTAAACAACTTGAGAATGTCGAAAAACCACACTGGCATAGAGACCACTGACACCATCGCACAAAATGTCAACCTCAGACACAGCCAAAGTCCATATCAATCATGAATTGAATGTTGTATGATATGGCTCCGTGTTTGATCAGCATATCACTACTGTTACTATCTGAAACAGCCCCAACCAGTATGGACCTGCTCCAACTTGACTTTCTCCTTCCACATTGATCAAGGCAGGCAAGAACTGTGATGGGTGCAGCAATCATCAAGCAGGTTGGTACTACGTGGTCAGAGCTTTACGGTAACGGCTGCACCCTGATGGGTGACAAGCACCAGTGACAGAGGGAGCCCAGCAACCAGAGTGGAGTGCCTGGATTCCTTTCATCAAACGAAACCAACAACGTCGACGAGAGTATAGGGGTTGATTTTGACACCAGGTCATGGATACTAACAAGGTTTGGGACCCCAGAGAGGAGGGTGGATACCACTGGGAGGCAGATACCAGTCCCGTGTAAACACAACACATTATTGCATTGAATGGTAAGTGCTATCAGTCTGCTTTGCTTGCTAACCATCGATATGTTGATGGTAGATGCACTCCTGCTGGCCATGAGACCTGCAGACAGTGCTCTTCAGAGTCGTTCACTGAGGTACACAGGTTTTCGCACAGGCCATTGTTTCCCAGGACGAACAGTCTCTGCAGGGATTTCTGTTCTTTGCAGTGCC